AATATGACAGAGGGGAAATGTTGTGAAATCTGCACTGCTCTCCGTCTCCCGAAGACTAAAATTAACCACACTCCTGCTGTCAGCACTTTTCTTATACACTAACAGCATCCAAATATAAAAGCATAAGAAAAGAAAAAAAAGTCAGGCAGTTTCACTTGTGGTGCACAGTATAGGACAAAAGCACAGGACTGGAAGGAAGCAGAGTTTTAAAAACTAAAGAGTGCCATTTAAGTCTGCAGCATTCGATTCAATATAGTATAAGGGACAAAAATTTGCTTTTAGGAATATGGGTATTTAAACAAGTCTATACGGACACTAAACAGCCACTGAAGTTACACTATATGGCCAAAAGAATGTGGACACTCCTCCTACTTGAACTCAAGTGTTTCAGCCACACACTGTGCTAAAATCTAACGTATTGTTTTCATGTTTGGACATAATTTGAAAATACCAGCATTGTATATACCTTGTATTAACACTTCATGATAAACAGGCCAATAACAAGTACTTGGAAAAAACTCCTTAACTCCCATTCAAAGTTAAGGTTTTTTCCTTTCTGGAGATTCAAGGTTTTGCCTGACAGTGACTATAAAGCCATGCAATCTTCATAGGCAAACACTGGCAATACAATGGGTCTTACTGAAGAGCTCAGGGACTTCAAACATGGTGTTGTCATAGGATGCTACCTTTGATGCTAGTCAGTTTGGGACCTTTCTGCCATGCTAGATCTGCCCTAGACAACTGTAAGTGCTATTATTGTGAAAAGCATCTAAGAACAACAACAGCTCAGCCACAACGTGGTAGACCATGCAAACTCATACACCTGGTCCAGCGAGTGCTGGAGCGCCAAGCATGTTAATATTTTTTATCCTCCGTTGCGTTCACTAGCTCTAAACTGCCTCTGAAAGCAACATCAGCACAACTGTGCGTCAGGAGTTTAATGAAATGTGTATCCATGGCTGAGCAGCTGCCCACAAGGCTAAGATCACTATGTGCAATGCCAAGTGTCGGCTGGAGTGGTGTAAAGCACGCTGGACTCCGAATAAAGTCGCAAAGAGGGGGTTGATAGTTGTTATCTGAGAAAATTGAATGGTTACTGAGGTGGGAAAATATGTTTTTTGGTTAAAGAAAAAAATATGTATACAGATAAAAACTTATTTCTTGACAGATAATTATAAATCAATCTTATATAATGACTATGTAAAATTACAAAATGAAAATTTAAGAATGATTTGATAGTTACATCTGCTGCAGACATTCAGTCTCACTGTTGCAAATTCCTAACGTCTCTTGAAAAAAGTAAAAGGTTCATGTTTATTTTTACAAAGTCAGCGCTTCTTCCATTCATCTGTCCTATAGCCTACGTGCTGCTGCAGAGGGCATTGTGTTAGGAGTGTGGTAAATGGAAGGAAACAGGATAGAGGAGAATTTGTGACTGCCATCAGCCTGTAAAGGAAAAGGGACAACCTGAAAGGAACAAGTGGCGGTGATAAACTCCTGGCTTGCTGAAACACCATCCCTGCAGCAGGTGATGGATTTTTATAGCACTCACAGCAACTTTGCTTAGTGGTTGGCCTGAGACGATCCTGAAGCACAGAGACAGTTTTAATAATCGAAAAAAAAAAAATTTAAAAATAAAAACAGAGTCGACTTCAGAGCAAACAGCGCATTCAGAGGATGGAACAAGAACAGGACCATGTTAAGCCTGGTGAACACACATTCACATCACTGGATGAGCAGGAGGTTCTATAAGCCCTGATCTCGCCGCTTCATCAATCCCTCAGCACACAGCTCTGCAGTACACACACACACACACACACACACACACACACGAGCTGTTAGGAGAATCCTTCCTGCTTTGTTTTAGTCTCACAAACATCTACAAACGCAACACACACCAGTTCATAAAAAACACAATCAGATACGGATCCACTTCCACTCAACACGACCTTCCAAGAGGGCTTTAGCTCTGCAATCAGGATCATATGACCACTACACTTGAACACAAACTGTATCGCTTTCACTGCTTAGATTAGAAGGAGACAAAACAGACATGAATGATAAAGAAACAAAGAAAGAGAGAGAGAGAGAGAGAGAGAGAGAGAGAGAGAGAGAGAGCGAGCACAAGGGAGAGAGAGAGAGAGAGAGAGAGAGAGAGAGAGAGAGAGAGAGAGAGAGAGAGAGACAGCACAAGGAAGAGTGAGACAGAGACAAAGTGTGCAAGAAAGAGCGAGAGAGACAGGGAGAGAGAATAAGAGAAAAAGAGAAAGACAGTGAGAAAAAGAGCAAGAGAGAGATAGAGAGAGCATGAGACAGTGAGAGCGTGAGTGTGCGAGAGAAGGGGGTGAGTGGAGGAAAGAAAGAGAAAGAAAAGAGAGAGAGAGAGATAGAGAAATATAGGAGAGAGAGAGAGAGGCATGAGACGGTGAGAGCATAAGTGTGCGAGAGAAGGAGGTGAGTGGAGGAGAGAAAGACAGAAAGAAAGGAGAGAGAGAGAGAGAGAGAGAGAGCTGAGAGAGAGAGAGAGAGAGAGCTGAGAGAGAAAGAGAGAGAGAGAAATATAGGAGAGAGAGAGAATAGCGTAGTGTGTGCTGTATAAAGGCTCAGTCTAATGTAATCGGGCTGCAGTAGATGGAGACAGAACTGTAATGGCTCTGCAGCAGAACCTGTCAGCAGCAATAAGAGCGAAGAGGAACACAGACGAGAACACAATCCACCTGATTATCTAACAATCCGGCCTGAACACGCGTCACCATAGCAATAAATTACCCAACCGCGTGGAATAATTCGATGGCACTTCTCATCCCATAATGCCTCAGGGGGAGTGACCCGTCCACCCATTCGGTCATGCAGGGCAAGACAGGCCGACAGAGCTAAACGGGCTTTCTGCAGAATTTGTACTTATACACTGTTAGACGACACAGCGGGCTCAGCAGAACCACTGCGGGGTGAAGTCTGAGCCGCCGACCTCCGACTTAGAGGCCTTAAAAGGAGAAGTTTGGCAACAATAAAACAGCTGTAAGATTTTATTTCAGGTCAGGTCACAGGCCCTTCAGAGCCACAAGCGCTGCTGTGTTTACAGTAATATGCAGTAGAGGTCTGCACTCTCACGGATTCCCACGGGACCTGCGACAATATCTTGCGGCGAGGGGCAAATTTTCAGTGTTGGGTGCCGGGGCGGGTGGGAAATCAGCCCACTGTAGGCGGGAGCGGGACGAAGCACACATGAACAGAAATACCGCTAATGAACGAAAAGCCTAAATAAAGCAGAACCATCACTAAATAATGTATATAAACAATATAAAATGATACCAGTAAAACAATTAAAATATATTAAGTCATTCTAAAGAGTTGCGAAGCAACCAATCACGTGGACAACACGAACATTCTCATAGCTTACAGAGACGGGAGCCTTCAGTCCGACAGCCACAGCTGCCGAGCAAAACACCAACTGTATATACAATGTATATAAATGGTGAAATTACTTCACAGTGAGCTGCTGACCATGACTACGGTGTTATTTCAGCAGAGGATAATGTATTTGTGAATAGACTGAGTTAGTTATTGGATGTCAGTTCGGCTTTGTGTAACTTTGTGGCGGGAGCGGGACAAAACATTTTGTTTGCAGGCGGAAACATGATCAAATCTTGCAGGACCGGGCAGGGACAGGACAGTCCCGCACAGACCTCTAATATATGTCAAAAGACATTTGAAATAAGTTTACATCCTCTACAGAGAACAAAAATAGGACAAACATGCAGAATCCAAAAAAAATGCATAATTTCTGTTTATTTGCTGAGGAATGTAAGGCTACGTTTCATGAGCCAGCCATCCATTCAGCCATCCTGAAGCCTGAATTTTGTCCGCACTTTTGACCATTTTTGGCCCATCAACTACACCTGGGGTTAGACTGGATTTTTTGCCAAACTTTTTAAACACGTAAGTGATGTTTCGTAGATGATAGACATTTCAGTGGATGGCAGGTGATGCCAGTCTCGCTTCTGCTGTAACAATTCCCTCACCTTACACCTACATTTCTGCTCAGCATCTAGGCCAATAGTGGGCAGTCCGCCTCCTGTGGTGCCACAGGGCATTCATGCTTTAGTGCCGGTCCTACAAGCACACCTACACTCAGCTCAGAAAACACTGAGGACGCTTAAAACCTTAGACACACAGTGTGCCAGAGATTTCACAAAGCAGACAGATCCTTTCACACACACAGATACGAAGTGCCAAGACTGGGGCTAAATGTGATCGTCCATCACCTTGAGCTGGATTAGTTTTATCTGTGGGGGTTCTACAATTTAAGAGATTACTGATGAGATCTGTGATTACAATCCAGTATGAATCTGCAGTGTGTAAATTTTATTGTTTGATAGTAATAATAGTGGAGTGATTTTAATCCAGTGTGAATCTGCAGTGTGTAGGTTTGTTTTGCAGTTCTGACAATAATAATTCTGAAGTGAACAGTCCTCGGTAATTGGCTGAACCTGGAGCTCCTTCAGTAATATTACTCCTGTTTCAGTCCATCAATGAAATGACAAAACCCACTTATAGACACAGCCATGCTGCGTGTTGTTATTGTCATTGAATGTGTCCTGTGGTGCAATGCTGACATGAACATCTGGGCTATGACCTTTCAATACAGTATAACTGTAAGAATTTACAAAGGTTCTTCATCCAGTACTGATCGACTAGCCAAATCTCACAGAAAGGACATCACATCACCTCCTCTGGTAAAGCTGATCCACCTCCAATAGTGCTTAAAGATGTACAGTGAGAGGTGAATGGAGACAGGCAGCGAGAAATGTCAAAGTCATGCTCTGGTGCTGAGTGGGGTGACGTGAGCTTCTGTCATCTCCACATCTGTGTCACTCCCATCACTCTGATCTGACCTCCAGCCCAGCAAGGTGAGAGGAAGGGCTCGCTCGGAGAGCCAAACGTGTGTGTGTGTGTGTGTGTGTGTGTGTATAAATAAGCGTATGTGTGCGTGTTCTTACGTGCTTCTCTCCTTCAATCCTCCTGTCAGCGAGCTGAACGGCTTCCAGGTACTTAAAATGCAGCTCCATCAGTCGGTCCACCTGCAGAGAGAGGGACACACACACACGCATTTTACGAAACCAGGCATGCGCGCACACACACACACACACACACACACACACACACACACACAAATAAAACCACTCAAGCTCAGACCCTCGGGAGTATCTGGCCCAATTTTAAACTTAGCTGATTATTCTCACACCAGGCTCGGCTGCAGGCACCTTGAGCTCCATTCAGCCAGCGTGTGTGCCTGGATCCCTGCCGTTCTTTTGAAATGGCTTTTTTTGGGAAGTCCTGTACGGTCCGCGCTCAATCCAGGTTCAAAACTCTATGAAGATGGCAGCGTTTACATTTGCAAACGCTGCATTTCTACTGATCACACAGGAAACTGTGCTGATTGAAACATTTTCCTCCCACAAACGTGGCACATCTTATGAACAACAGCAGCAGATTTTTGGAAGCAGAAGCTTCAATAGTTTTCCATTTTTATATCTAGGAGCTTTAAGTCTAAAGAGTCTTTACAATTACTAAACATCCCATATAATGCAGATATAAAATAGACTTTTTTGTTTTTCCCTAAATATAAAATAACCTAATGTATGACATAAACATTGTTAGCATTTCAGAACATACATTTTAATCCATACAGTGAAGTCACAACCATGAACATATTTACATAAGCGTTCAAGAGTTAAGAACTGCTGTTCAGATGTCGGGAATCGCTGTTTTCAACTATTTAAAACCAATCTGGTTGCAGCCAAAATGATTCTAATTGCTCGTCCTGTTCAACATCACAGGTTTCAAATATTTAGTAGAAGTTGTAAATAAAAATTAAGAAATGTTAGCTGTGTCCAGAGTGATGAACAGAGCTGGAGAAGATTCTAAAATGACTGAGAAAGCCAGCACTGAGAAGTTCTAATAAAATTAATATCAAGAATTCATCATATTTCTAAAGTGAGGATCAAATCTCAGGGCAGATAACTTGAATTGATTGAAATAAATAATAATAGCATATTATTTTAATGTCATTTTATTCACTTTTTGTTCACAGAATACTTGAAATATGAAATAAAATATCTAAAAATGCCTGGTGGTGAACAGTTTGTTATTAAGTGGATAACATAACAAATAACAACACTAACGTAGCAAACAACCCCAAACTTTTGAATGGTAGTGTGCATATGACCGCCTATTTAATCTATAATAGTTTAGACCACAAACTCATGTTGAAGTCACAAGAAGTGCTGTTACTGTAGATAGTTTGTAGCTTCTTAAACAAGGCCTGATATAGGGCACTTCTGAAGGGGTCAACCAATCAGAATAGCGGACTTCAGGGGAAAATAAGTTCATATACTAGACAAATGCATAATATGGGCAATTTAAACCTGGCACCGTCTTCACATGAGCCTCAAGGAAAAGAGGGCTACACAACATGTTTGTCATCTACCTTCTCACAGTCGTTCTCAGTGAACTTGCTGAGCAGGCGGCTTCTCTGCTGTCCCTTCAGGTTCCTCAGCATGGACGCCAGGATGGAGCACACATGCTCTAGAAGAAGAGAAGAAAAGATACAAAGGACGTTACTAGCTTTCACAGCCTTTGTATATAGTATTTCTAAAGCTTCAACAGCAATAAAAAAGCACTACCTAATGAACATAAGCTCATTTCAAACAGCCATCACAGCCAACATTTCCGCAATGATGTTTATTTTGATTCCTTTTTACAAGCCATCCCAATGAGAATTTGTCTATACTTTCAAGACACTGAATTATACTTTCCAAAGACTTATGAGACGCATGTAAAAAAAAGGCTTACAGTCATCAAAAAAGACAAGACAGGGAAAGAAATGAAGAAACAGATGAAAGTGATAATGTCAGTTTTCATTAGTGTGTTTGGGAGCAGCACCAAGACGAGCTCTTCCGAGCCCAGCAGGGCTGTGAGGCTGCTGTTTACTATTTAAAGCACAGTTCATGAGCCAAGAATGTACATATTTCTTCCCTCTTAGACTGCATGTACAGTCGTACATAACAGTGTGTGCACCACTGGTCAAATGACATGTTTTGTTGATTCTAAGTGAAGAAAATAAAAAATTAAACATCAAATGTGTCATATTTTTAGCAAAGGCCACATTTTATGTTTTGTTTCCCCCCCTAGTATTTTACAAACGAGCAGATAAACAGTAACTGTGCATTAAAACGTGCAGAAATGTGTTCTCTGTGCCACCGAGTTCTAAATGAGTTTCATGAAATGGTAAAATGTTTCATTTTCAACATCTGAAATGTGTTCTATGTTCTACTGTGAATAAAATACGGGTCTATGAGATTTGCAAACCATTGTATTCTGTTTTTATTTACACTCATTTACATTTTACACAGCGTCCCAACTCTTTTTGGAATTGGGGGTGTAAATCACACCTGGCATGAGTAATATTTTCCACCTAAACAAATGAGTTAGTTGCACCTCTTTATTCTTACATTGTGTTTTGGAGCAAAAAAGCTTTCTGGAGAATTTTTTTTTGAAAACATAGGTTTAAAATATATTGGCACCCCCGTTATTTATATTGGATAAAGCCCTCCTGGCAAAAACAACAGCAATAAGCCACTTTCTGTAAGGATGAACAAGGTTAACTGTTGGACAGCTCCTCGGCGCAGAACATTTCCAGTTCCATGATACTCTTAAGTCTTCACTTGTGGACTGCCCTCTTCAATACACACCACATGTCTTCAATTGGGTCAAATCTGAAGACTGAGAGGGAGATAACGAAACTGCAACCATTTCTTTGTGGGTTTTGATGTGTGTTTGGGGTCATTATCTTGCTGAAAGGTTCACCCACAGCAAAGTTTCAGCCTTCTGGCAGAGGCAGACAGATTTTTGGCTAAAACCTTCTGGTACACCTCTATTTTGTATTGTATATTAGTCCTAGTTGAATCTAGTTGCCCACAACATGTTTACTCCCAAGTTGCAGTGCATTAATGACTCTGAATTGAAAAGATCATTCTGTTAAGCCATTTCAACTAAAAAGTATGAGAACAGAGATACATGTCTCTAAAAGGCTGAAAATATTGAGAAACCACAGAACAAAACAAAAAAAAACACTAATTCTGTGTTCTATCTAGACTCATCACACCTTCACATACTGTAAACCATACCAGACCAAACGTTCTATCCTTTTCCAGCTTTGTCTATCAACAAAAAAATAGCTCTGACATTATGACTCTGAACTGAGATACTTATTTCTCTTTAAATCCACACAAATAAATCAGTAAAGCCCTAAGTCTTCTATACAGAGCTGTGTGTGTGAGGTCAGAGAGGACACCTTACTTAAAGCACTCAGCACGCAGGGACCTGGCTGTTCACACTTTAACACACCTATTAGGGTTTTTATTCACAGGAAACAGAGCGGCTGTGTTAATCAGAGGAGGAAACAGAGCGGCTGTGTTAATCAGTTGAGGAAACAGAGCATCTGTGTTAATCAGTTGAGGAAACAGAGCATCTGTGTTAATCAGTTGAGGAAACAGAGCGGTGGTGATAATCAGAGGAGGAAACAGAGCGGTGGTGTTTATCAGAGGAGGAAACAGAGCGGTAGCGTTAATCAGAGGAGGAAACAGAGCGGCGGTGTTAATCAGAGGAGGAAACAGAGCGGCGGTGTTAGTCAGAGGAGGAAACAGAGCGACGGTGTTAATCAGAGGAAGAAACTGAACAGTGGCGTTAATCAGAGGAGGAAACAGAGCAGCGGCGTTAATCAGAGGAGGAAACAGAGCGGCAGCGTTAATCAGAGGAGGAAACAGAGCAGCGGCGTTAATCAGAAGAGGAAACAGAGCATCTGTGTTAATCAGAGGAGGAAACAGAGCAGCAGTGTTAATTAGAAGAGGAAACAGAGCAGCAGTGATAATCAGAGGAGGAAACAAAGCGGCAGCGTTAATCAGAGGAGGAAACAGAGCAGCAGTGTTAATTAGAAGAGGAAACAGAGCAGCAGTGATAATCAGAGGAGGAAACAGAGCGGCAGCGTTAATCAGAGGAGGAAACGGAGCAGCGGCGTTAATCAGAAGAGGAAACAGAGCATCTGTGTTAATCAGAGGAGGAAACAGAGCAGCAGTGTTAATTAGAAGAGGAAACAGAGCAGCAGTGATAATCAGAGGAGGAAACAGAGCGGCAGCGTTAATCAGAGGAGGAAACGGAGCAGCGGCGTTAATCAGAAGAGGAAACAGAGCATCTGTGTTAATCAGAGGAGGAAACAGAGCAGCAGTGTTAATTAGAAGAGGAAACAGAGCAGCAGTGATAATCAGAGGAGGAAACAGAGCGGAGGCGTTAATCAGAGGAGGAAACAGAGCGGAGGCGTTAATCAGAGGAGGAAACAGAGCGGCGGAGTTAATCGTAGGAGGAAACAGAGCGGCGGTGTTAATCAGATGAAGAAAAAGGTGTCACAAAGAACGAAGAAAAGAGGGAAAGAGAAAGAAAGAAAAAGAAAGAAAGAAAGAGGACGAGAAGAAGACAGACAGAGCATGAATACGAGGGAAAGAGAGAGACAGAGGCAGAGGCAGAGATAGAGAGAGAGTATTCTGGCAGTAGAAGAGGCAGGTATTAGATAAGTGTGTTATCTCTGAGCTCTGCCCTGGGATATAAAGCAGGAGAGAGAAGAGAGAGAAGAGAAAGACAGAGAGAATGAGGAGGAAGGGAGAGAGGAAAAGAGGAGAGATGCTTGGGCTGTCGCTACAGCACCAGGTCTCCGTGGCAACAGGAGGAGAGGCCATTAGCTGCAGACATGTGGAAGCAGCTGAGAGAGAGAGAGAGAGAGAGAGAGAGAGAGAGAGAGAGAGAGAGAGAGAGAGAGAGAGAGAGAGTGAGAGAGAGAGAGAAAGATAGAGAGAAAGAGAGAGAGAAACAAACACGCAGGAGGTTTCTGCTTCAGCTCTGCTCCTGCTTCCACTCTCATTACACTCTATTAGAGCTGCTCACTCATTCTAATGACAGACACTTCACAGAGCATAATGGAGCACAAGCAGCTTTGATTCACATACAATACAGCGTGAACTGCAGGCATCGCCGGCACACGGCAACCAGCCTCCCGCTTTAAAAGACAGCAGAGACTGTTTATAAAGGACCTCTGCTATTTCTGGTGATGTTAAGTACGACACTGCAGCTCGGCACTGACAGACAGGTGGATGGAGTAGTTTCTACTATTCTACGGTGAGAGAGATCACGGTTATCCTTTACAAGCTTAGATCAATTACTGTTCTTTTGCTACACCTGACTTGCATCCTATTTTATCAACAGGTTTGAATCCACACTTCTGACTTTTTCTATTTAGTTTGACGTCAAACTGACAAAAACATGGAAATATCTAAAGGATGTTTTTCTTCTTTTTCTTCGAAACAAGAAAATCAGTACCGTTTCATCAAATTCAAATCATAACAGGTGTAAAAGCTAAATAAATACCGTGTTTCATATCTATACACGTCTAACAGTTCTGTGCAAAAGTTATGAAAGTTACACATAAAGCCATGTCTGAGAAATCAGGATTTATTTCTTATAAAAAAATCACATTAGAACAAACTGAAATAAGCCAATTAACAATACATTGTTATTTCTCCTTGTGGAAGTCCAGTACTTACAGTTACCATCCAGCACATAGTTTATCTAATCGATCCTTCATTTAATTAAATCAGGAGAGCTTCTGGTGGAACTGAACAGTGGCTGGAGTGCAACGAGAAGCAAGGAACCAAACCTGTGCCCTTCTAAATAAATTAAAAAATTAAGACATTGTTACGTTACTGTATTTACGCTTATATGCGCTTATTTAAACGTTATATAGTGTTTTTACTGGCAAACAATGGCTGCCTTACTTGTTTCCTAACAGCAAGCGATCGTCCAAACGTAGCATCTCATCACATCACATCCAGGGTGCTTTGCAATGTCTATAGCGGAAACGTCACGTTGTGCGTCAAGTCAAAACGAAAACAAACCACGGGCCACTCAGAAAATAGCTGCTTTACTGACAGAGCTGTGGTTCAGGTCAGTGAGTAACGGAGTTCAGGTCAGAGTGTATAATGGGTTCTGCTTTATCTCCACACTTATCATCAGTAGTCTAAATATCAGTCAAAACAGTATAACACCACCTTAGTGCTGAGCAGCTCAGTTGTATCTGCTAAATCTACTACGTTCACTACCAAAGTACCCTTATCAATCAGTGGTGGAAAACAAAAAGTATTCTTTTCAAACTTTCAGCACTACGACAACTTTTCTCGAAATTGTTTACTGAAAGCTCGTACAAATCAGGGAGTTTCTCCTGTTCCATCTGACGTCTGCACAGTGCTGTATTTATTTATACAGGGAGATTCGCTCGAAAGAGGCCCTGAATATTCTGTAGTAACTCTTACTAAGACGAAGCAATCTGAACCAAACAAAGTCCAATGTGCTCCACAGTATATGGAGCTTCGAACAAGCCGGGATGCCCCTGCGTCGGAGTAATGAGGTAGGCACCGGACAGCCGTCGCAACGTTTGCCACTCCCCGGTGCATACCCCCGTACCCCTTCATGTGTCTGGCTGA